TCCTTCGTGAGTTTCGGCAGATAGCGTACCTGGAGCTAGACGGCCGGCGTTTAACTGTAAAACCTTCTGTGATCAACACCATGTTGGGCTTTTGAACGGCTATTTATTTTCGGCTCGACTCAATCCTTGGTGTCTTGCAGCAGCATCCCGTTGTAGGCAAGGATGGTTCCTTCACCTAGGCCATCGCTGTCCCGTTGGCCTTGTAACCCTCGCAACTACGAGTTATCTTCTCGAAATTGGGATACGGAGCTGGACGGCAGTACTAGATGACTGACGAGTGTTTACTCAACTTCCAAGAGGCTCTAGACCGTTGTACGCCCAGTACAGGTAACAATAACGCTTAGTGCATTCATTCGACAATTGTCGCAGATCTGCACGATCTCGTTACAGACAGTATTGTCGCTATTGCACACCAGGTTGCGCCCGCTGGGGAGGCGACACCGCTTCACCATGCTTTTTAGATTTTCTCTCTTGCTTACATCAAAGGTCCATTGACATAAATATGATGCTAATGAAGATAGCTCTGCGCCATGACCTAACACTATACACCATTACAACACCACTGGATTCGAAAAGGCAGGAAAGCTACGCCATAGGACGAAGAGGCCTCCGTCAAGAAGGATATCTCTTGGTTTTTTGTTGACGTGCAACCGATTCGCTACGGAACGTGCACCAGGTTATGACCAATGTCGGCTTCAACCAACCTTGCGATTGGCCGAAGCCATGCGTCCAAATCACGAAATCTCATATGTGTTTACCCATCTCTATGCTGAAGCGGCTTCAGTTGTACAAAACTCAAGACTCATTGTTTTTCAAGTTTATTTGGAAGACTTTCCTCGTGATTTATGGTGTTAACGCAACCGTACCGATCATCTTTGTACATTTGTCAGCCTCTTACAGTTGCACTTACGAGACGGTCTCCTACTTCGTAGATCGGGATCCGAAGTAGTCCCGTCTGGAAGTCAGTTTTTTGAGAGCTGAAAGAGTTTATAGGGCAAGCAAGCCTTACTCGCTATACACAGGTGGACTTACGTTGGATTGTATTCGCATCCCACAATCGTCCTTCTTTCACACCACTAGCCCTCCACAACCAATCTTGTTACTGGTTAATGCCAAGACTACCTGCAACGGCCCTGCATACAAGCTTCGATTTAATTACTAGCAACTTTCAATATTAACTGTTGTCACCTCGAGAGAATGCCGACGCCTATTTTCAAAGACTTTTCCCGCGGAAAGTATTTTATCGCTGAGAATCACCAACGATTTGCCAATTCGCTGAGCCAGCCCTTCGACACTCTTAATGGACAGACATATTTCTAATAGAAGGCTTGAATGACTCAAATTGCCTCACCTTTCGCCTTTTCCGTCTTATTGAGCCCCCCGCTCTACTGCAATATAATTTTTTCCGGTTGTCCCCAACCTTTTATGGCTCATAATGCATGAATGCGCCCATACGCACTTTGTTTAGACCATTCATGCATGTTTTTCTCAATACTTCGCAGTCGTAGCACTGCCACACGTTTCTTTCGGCTATATCAATTCTTTCGGACCAAGTTTCCGATGAACGAATATCCATTTTTCAGGCTCCTTCCTTCGAATTGAGCATGAGATTTCAAAGCGGTCTTCCAAAACGAGATACGTCGTACACTTTCAGCTTATTTATCTGCCTTCGGAGCAAATCCCAGCTAGCTATTCTTAGCAAGTCTCTGGCAATGACTAGATCTGAAAAACTTGATTATGAAGAATAATCTATATTCGATGTGGTTGCATTACAAAACGGGAACCGGGAATCTCATGTGCTTGTCAACAACGATCTGTCTGAATCGTCTGTCATACCATTGTTAAGAGAGTCAGTTGGTCTGCAAGATAGTGTTCGTTTGAACATCAACATTTTGAACTGTTCAGTATGGAGACACCCATTTGAAATTTCGAAACCAACGCGAACGCTGTTTCTCCGTTCTGTTTTAAGCACACTGAAAAGTTTTTTGAGCAGCCTCTAGAATGATATCAATCGAGCAAAGGTATAGTTTTGCTACCAGAGGGACAATTGTGAGAAACCGTGCTAACATATTGGCCGTCAATGTGAACGCCTCTCGTATCCTCCCACGCCCTTTTAATAGCTGTTCCAGTAGTCCGAGGGCGCCTAAGCATAACCGAATTCTATACACATATTGTCCTCACCAGCCATGTCATAATTTTATTTATTAATTGAATTCAGAGCGCACATAACGAATTTTTGCTGAAATGTGAGGTTGCCGAAAGAGAATTATCCTTCTATTCATTAAATAAATCACTGTTTGTTTCAGACAGCAAACCATGCTCAGAATTCGCGTACCTGAGAAGTGAAATGCTATTTCTAGAAACGCGCCGTCTGCATTCTTCGACAACAGGGAAGGTCTGTTCCTGCGATAACGTTGAGTCGAATTGCATGATCCTCACTAATATCACTACATCATCCAGGAATAAAAATGTGACAATGTGTTTACGTGCGTACTGCGAGCCTGTGTAAGAATAATTCTTGCTAAAATTTTACCTAACTGCCGAACTTTTTATGGCCTATGGCATTATCATAGGATGACCGAAATTTTGTAATCGTCATACTTGTTCCCTCCAAAATCCAGGATCCACGTAATAGCCACTTTGAATGCCACAACGCGTATGTCTTGAATGTAGTAGGATTATCCGAAAAATCTGAAAAGATTTGACACATAGTATATTTCGCTTTCTGTCGTCATCCTTCTGGGACACCGTGCTTCTTATTTGTCTCGATATCCCTGAAGAATTTTATCGTATAGTCGCTGATGGAGCAGAAGAAATTATTTGACACACATACGGTGAGCTCAGAAGATTCACCAACCAACAATTTTATAATTCCTCCGACCGAGTTCCGAACACTGACATTGCTATGTCTCCGAGTTTTTCTGATCCTCGAGCTGATGATATTCGGCAAAACCTGAAATCTCCACATTCACTCATCGAGTCCTCAATGCGCCGTAACCTTTCAGCGGATACTTCGAACCACTTTGTATGTATGTAGCTAAATCCCCTTATAGTTACGTGTCCCTTAAAGAGCATAGTACTGCCAGAAACTTCGGGCTACACAAACGTCATAAGTTCCCGCAGCTGCACCAACACACGCTCCAATTTCTCAATTTTTTTATTTGGCAGAACTATTTTGCGCATGTTTCCAATATCAAACAATAGAACCAATACGAAGAATCAGAGAATGTAATGCCTGTAACAATTGATTTTCTTCATCATGCATGTGACAGTAGCTATTGGTCCATTTATTATAGCTTTCCAATATGAGAAATATTATAGGAAAATTCTGAAAGACGAATGCACTGGCACATTTCCGATAAGTAATCCCCTTTACGCTACGATTGTTAACTTATTGGAAGCAACAGTTGATCTGCCATATTCATAAAGATCTGTGCACTGTGTTGAAGACGTCTATCTCAAAGCTTCTTATAGCTACAAAACCTGTTCTGTAAATTAGACCTAAAGAAAAGCTATACAAAAGTATACGCAGCGCTATCTCATAAGTCGCGGCAGATTCATAAAAAAAGGGATTAATTTTTAGGCTTGATTTTCTTGTGATCGCTGTTTCTCGTACCTGTCCCATACTCTTGGTTTTATACTAGATTGCATCAAATTCATTAAATGTAAAAAAAAGAAGCCGTAACTTCGTAGGTCTCATTTAGGTCAACATGAAAGCAGCTCCTTGCTCCCCCGCTCAAAACATGTAACGAGTTCCTCACTTCACCCCACAAATAGTCGACGCGAACTGAATGACCTTCCTACAAGGATATCATCACACGATGCGTACTCGGTTCACTCGAATGTTACAATGCATTTAGGCAGACACGTCATATAGAGGCTATATATGTGAAAAAAAACAACACATGCTGTAATAAAGTTGGCTGTAACGGACCCTGCGACAACTTTGAACACTTCTTTACAAAGAAAAAAACAAACCCCACGAACTTCTTGCCATATCCGCCATCAGTTACAATATTTTATCTTCGGAGTTGTAATAAGCAAATACAGGAGGGCAAAAAGGAACATTTGCCCATGCGCCAATTCAGCGTCAATTTTCCGTCGCGAACTGCCGTCGATAGCAAAGCCGAAT